TTTTGGCACTTCCTAAACACAAAATTCTTGAAACAGTCAACATTTTCAACAATCATAATCAACATATACAATTTACAGTTGAGGAAGAGGTAGATAATTCTCTACCATTCCTTGACATGAGAATTGTAAGAAATACAGACAATATGTTGAAAACTAGATGGTTCAGAAAACCCATATGTAGTAATAGATTTATAAGCTATTACTCTAATCATCCAAATAAAATGAAAATGAACCTTATAACAGGATTAAAGGAACGTGTTTTAAAACTTTCTCATCCAGACTACCAACAAGAAGATCTTCATTTGTTAAAAAATATTTTAATTGAAAACTCTTATCCTCCTGATATGCTACATAGGATGCTTTTTTCTAATTTATTAAATATAAATAACTTAACACCATTTTTTGCTAAATCTCAAAACACTGTATCCAACAATCAAAACATATATTATCATTCACTACCTTTTATACCATCATTAACTCCTAAATTAATACAAACATTAAAGGTTATTGACAATATAAAAATAGCAACAAAGAACATCAAAACTATTTCATCTTTATATTCCAAAACTAAATATCCTATAGACAAATTAGATCAAACAAATGTAGTATACAGCATTGTTTGTACTCAGTGTGAAGCTGAGTATATTGGTGAGACTGGAAGAAATCTCTCTAATCGCATTATTTCTCACAAGAGTGATTGTAGAATTAAGAAACCATCTTGTGCTTTGGCAGAGCATGTAATAGACAAAGACCATATTATGGATTTTGATAATATTAAAATTTTATGTAATGAAAGTAATAAATTTAAAAGAACTTTTTTGGAAATGGTTTGTATTAGCAAAAGTGATAATAATTTAAACAAAAGGTCAGAAATTCAAAATTTAAGCAAAATTTATAATTATATAATTTCTATTTAATTTATGCAGTCAGTAAAATATCACATTTTGAATTTTCCATTTATTTGTTACATTTTTCCGGGCATCTATCAATGGTGAATAAATCTTCTTCTTTTTTGTTACTAAACAAAGAAGAATTTTTTAAACAAAATTTTATTTTTGACAATATGTCAAAAATAAGAATTTTTAAGTTAGTATTTATGACGTTTTAGGCTGGTTGTAGCTATTCTATATTTGTTTATAATTTCAATTTTTTTTCTTAAGAAACTTCATCTAAATTTTTCAGAGAAACATTTGTTAGAATAGGACATTTTTTTATTAATATTTTTTGTATTTATTATGTAAGCAGTAGTTTTATATAAAAAACTAATTTTATTTGGTGAGTTAACAAAAAATTTTTTATTTCTAGTTCAACTTTGTAAGACATTTTGTATTTTTTAGAAGCTCTTGATAAAAATTGTAATCACAATTGAAAGCTCGAGTAAAAAATAGTCAACAAATAGCCCCTTTTATTGACTCCAACCCATCAAAAAAACAGTGTTATATTTTTTCCAAACGAGTCACAAGTACTTCTTTTTTCTTACTCTTATATAATATATATATATATATATATTATATATATATATATATATATATATATATATATGTATATATATATATATATATATATATATATATATATATATATATATAAGATGGTGGTATTCTTGACTGTTGATTATATTAACTTAATATATATATATATATATATATATATATATATATAATATATATATATATATATATATATATTAAGTATTTAAGTCTCGCCAGCGTAAACGTCAGAAAACTGTTGTGCATATTCGTATTTTTGCGACTGTGGATATTTTCTTCAACCTCAACATCTTATTGGGCCATTTTTTTTTAATTTGTTGGTTCTATACATTAATATTTGTTAGTGTTACTCCAAGTAATCGAATGTCCAATAATTTCAATATTAATAAAATACATTTTGGCTTCCTCATTTATTTCTAATCCACACTATTTCTCTAATCGTTAAACATTTCTTTAAATTCAGCGGACCTTCTTGTGATTAAGACAAAATCATCCGCATATGTTACATATTGATGCTTTTCATGACGATAAAAAAGAAGATAATCATGAAGCTTTGCATGCTAGTGCAATGGGATATAACGCATCTGATACCATATTTTAATATGGCTCAACTTATTTAATTTAAACGGGATGCCATGTATATTTTTGCAGATTAAAAAAAATCATATACAGACCAGATCAGACAATAAAGAAAATAAAAAATTGTTTTTGTAAATTGTAATGTAATATTGTTCTGGAGCTATTTTCTTGTGGCATTGTAAATTAATTACTATTAAACTGGGAATAAGCCACAATTAAAGATAAAAATACGTTTATTGACGTTTCAATTTCCACTTCGGAAATCGTTCTCAAAATACAAACAGTAAATTAAACAAATTTGTTTAATTTACTGTTTGTATTTTGAGAACGATTTCCGAAGTGGAAATTGAAACGTCAATAAACGTATTTTTATCTTTAATTGTGGCTTATTCCCAGTGTAATGTAATGTAAATAACGTAATGGAAAATTTATGAAATACAATAATGTAAAAGGTGGACCATAGCTCTCTTTTATTATTTTTAGGCGTTAGTTGTTCCATTTTATCTTTTATGACTTTAATATGTTTAGCTTAGATTAGAACATGATCTATTTGATTGTCTGCCCATCTGGTAAAGGTATATGAATCTCCACATATCTTTAACCTCTTAAATATATCCATGAATTTCTTTTTGGCCAAAGTAGGTACTCATAAATCGCATGTTATGTTAGAAAGTATATTTTACTAGTGTTCAATCCCAGAAAATCGTTCACTGTCTCCACTGTTGAAAATAAAGTAGTTTCTTATTTCTGCACAGACTTTGAATATTTCTTTAGTCGTTTGAATGGTTGCAATATCTATTTCATGGTCTCGAGCTCTTCTGTATTATGGTTCCATTTAAACTATTCTTTATTTATACATATTTTCTGACATTCACACTTTGTTTTAGTACCTTTTCCATTTTCCTCTTACACCACGTCTCTTAGTTCCATCTCTAGTCTTGCTTTAGCTTGTGGTAAATAACTTTCACTGAAATACTGCATTCCTCCTAGTTTATTCTTAATCCTCATAACAAGTTCTTTATCTTTTATAGAGTCTACTTTTACTATCGCCACTGGTGGCTTCACATGCGCCATTTTTGTTTCTGAATCCTTTGGTTTCACAATCATATTCAATTTATCTTCAATAAAGTTAATAGCATCTTCAATTTCTTCATTACTCTTAAAATCGTATCCTTTCATTACAATATTTATCTATATTTTCAACCCGGCTATCCAGGAGATTTACCTTTCCTTGAGTTTTAAATTTCCTTTTCCTAGATTACATATTTCATCTTGAAAATGACTTTGGTCCTTTCAGATTCCTTTAAGTTTGCTTATAAGTTCTACTGGTATTTCTTACAATTCTTGATTATCACACACTCTTTTAATTGGCTAAATAACTTTTTATTTTTATGAAAGAATTATCATGCTGTTCATTCTCACTGATCCACCTCTTCCTTCTTCCATCTTCCGTAGATTGATCTTCCGATGAGTCTTCACTTTCAATTTGGGTCAGTTTTTTCTTACTCGACTTGGGTTAGACATAGTAAATAAATCTCCTACCTTTTCTAAATAGCGCCTTCTTTACATGCTTTGCTATCTGGTTTTGTTTATTAAGATCGTGTAACCTAGCGCACTCAACTCCATACTATTTTGTCAGTTTGCACATATCTTCAATATCTAACTTTTTTAAAATATTCATTTTACCTTTAAGTCTAAAGTCTTACGTATGCAATTAATTATGTATTTAATTAATAAATTAATTCAAATTAAAAAATTGCTTAATAGCAACGTAAGGTAAGTGCCTGATTAATGGGACTCTGCTGTACGAATGTTGTTTCTTAACATGCATAGTTTGTACTGTTTCTTAATTTCGCATTATTAAATTTTCTTCTTCTTCTTTGAGTGCCTCTCCTATAGGAGATTGGATATCATTAGGGCGATTCTACTTTTATTTACTGCTGTATTGAATAGTTCGTTAGTGGTGCAGCCAAACCACTCTTTTAAATTTCTTAATAAATTTTAAACCTTTGTATTTGCTTTGCCCATAAAAAACTTTATTGGGAATCTTGGTCAATTTTATCAGATAAACAACAAGGATTCAGATCCGGAAGGTCCTGCGTAGACGCCGTATTTGTCCTAAGACAAATCACAGAAAAGGTCATCGAGTACACTAAACCAAGATATCTATGTTTTATAGACCTGACAAAGGCTTTCGATCGCATCCAAGTCGAAGACGTCTTACACCTACTGTATAAAAGAAACATACCAATCAATATTATACAAACCATCGAAAACATCTACTTCCATAATCGAATACAGGCAAAGATAAATTGAAAATTAACTCAGTGTATACCAGTACAAAGCGGAGTCAGGCAAGACGTTAAGCCTACTTCTCTTTAATATAATAATGGACGAAATAACACAAGCCGTACGTAAAGGTCATGTTTACAGAATGGGGAACAAAGAAATCCATGTACTGTGTTATGCAGACGACGCAGCATTAATAAGACGAGCTCCAAATATTGACACAAATCTCCAATACAACAGCCAAGAAATACAATATGATAATATCAGCAGAAAAAATCAAATGTATGACAACATCTAAATACCCACTATGATGTAAAATCGAAATTGATGAGAAAATAATAAAGCAGGAAGAAAGGTTTAGATATCTGGGAATAGATATAACTAGTTACGGAGATGTTGAAGACGAAGTACGGCAACAAAGCTTAAAAGCAAGTAAAGCGGAGGGATATATTAGAAGAAGCCAATAAAAAACTATTTCTAGTATTTGTAAGTTTTTTTTAATAAAGCCGACAAGTATTACAGAAACTGAATTACTACTACGATTTTAGAAGAATTATTATTCATTCTATGCAAGCAGCACACATTTACAACAAATTGTATTAAAAATGTGACGTAATAAAAAAATATTTATCATTAACTTACCTTAAACGTTCCAATGGATAACAAAATTGATTTTTCTGGAATACTAAAACCTGTACTCATCATGGCCTTCAAATAGGCTTCATATCGATTCTCTCCAAAACAGGCAACTTCTCCTGTCGAGGCCATTTCTACACCCAACATGAAGTCAGCCCCAGCTAATCTCGAGAATGAAAACTGTGGCACCTTTACTCCAACTCTACCACAACCTTCCAGTACATCTACAGGTTCTACTTCCTCACCAACCATAACCCTTGTAGCCATAGCAACAAAATCGTGATTTAAAGTTTTCGATACAAAAGGAAAAGATCTTGATACTCGTACATTGCACTCGATAACTTTTAGATCATTGTCTTTGGCTATTAGCTGCATATTGAAGGGACCGCTGATGTCTAGTGAAGCGGCTATTGATTTTACTATGTATTTTATTTTGGACAGAGTTTCAGCATTAATGTCTTGAGGTGGTGTTACCAGTGTGGCATCTCCTGAATGTACTCCAGCGTTTTCTACGTGTTCTGACACAGCCATACAAAGAATAATGCCATCACAAGCTACAGCGTCTACATCAATTTCTTTGCTTTCAAGTAAAAATTTGGAGATAACTACAGGATGTTCTTTACTTACATCACTTGCTGCATTGAGGTAAGTTTCAAGATCTTGATTTGAATGAGCAACATTCATAGCAGCTCCACTAAGTACGTATGATGGTCGTACTAAGCAAGGATAACCCACCTCTTCACAAAATTCTATTGCCGATTTTAGATTTGTTAGCTCTTTCCATCGAGGTTGCATAATGCCAATTCTATCCAACATACGGGAAAACTTGAAACGATTTTCAGCTCCATCGATAGAATCTGGAGATGTTCCTAGAATTCTAGCTTTCTGTCTATGCAGATCCATTGCTATGTTATTGGGTAATTGACCTCCTACCGATAAAATAACTCCAGTGGGATTTTCAATATTATAGATATCCATCACAGTTTCGAAAGAAATTTCTTCAAAGTATAATCTATCTGACATATCATAATCAGTACTAACTGTTTCCGGATTGTAATTTATCATTATGGTCTTCATGTTTAACCTGCGTAGTTCGCGCAGACATCCCACTGCACAAGAATCGAATTCTACAGAGCTTCCTATACGATAAACTCCTGAACCTAACACCATGGTGTGTTGTTCTTCGAACTGTAAATCATGACTGTCAGCATTATAAGTTACATAAAGGTAGTTTGTTGTAGCAGGCCATTCTGCCGCAACTGTATCTATTTGTTTTACAAAAGGTGTAATTTGGAATTCTTCACGTTGCGTTCGGATTGCCAGTTCAGTACTTTTAACAGCAGCAGCTATTTGTTTATCAGAAAATCCAATCTGCTTAGCCCTAAGAAGAGTCCCGTGGGTTAAAGAATACTGGTCGAAGGTCTCCAGACAAGTTAAACAATCGATTATATTTTTCATTTTCTGCAAAAACCATCTGTCTATTTTTGTAAGTTCGTACAGCTTTTCTATCGAATAGTTTTGTTTCAAAGCAGCTGCTAACACAAACATTCTCTTGTCAGTTGGTTCTTTGAGCTCTTCATCGTTAACAGGCTTCAAATAAGGATCAAAACCGGTAACGTTCTCGTCAACCATACGTAAAGCTTTCTGAAAAGCTTCTTCAAATTTCCTACCGATTGACATCACTTCTCCGACACTCTTCATAGAACTTCCAATTTTGCTGCTCACTCGGGTAAACTTATGAAGATCCCATCTGGGAATTTTAACAACACAATAATCCAAACTTGGTTCGAAGCACGCAGTTGTAACACCTGTAACTGAATTATTAATGTCAGGCAGAGATACTCCCAACGCTAGTTTTGCTGCCACGTAGGCCAAAGGATAGCCGTAGCCTTGCTAGCTAACGCAGAACTTCTTGAAAGTCTAGCATTAACTTCGATAATATAAAATTCTTCAGAATTGGGGTTCAGAGCATACTGTATATTACATTCTCCTACTACGCCGAAATGTCTTATTACTTTAATAGCTGTGGACCTAAGCATGTTATATTCTTTATTGGAAAGTGTCTGACTGGGTGCTACTACTATAGACTCTCCGGTGTGTATTCCCAAAGGATCTACATTTTCCATGTTACAAACTGTTATACAATTGTCAAAGGCATCTCTCACAACTTCATATTCTACTTCTTTCCATCCTTTCAACGATTTATCGATAATTAGTTGGCTAGAGTGAGCTAGAGCCTGCAAAGCTAAAGTTTTTAATTCATCTTTATTGTTGGCAAAACCTGAACCTAGACCTCCAAGAGAAAAAGCAGCTCTCGCCATTACTGGATAGCCTAAAATATCTGCGGCTTCTAGAGCTTCTTGAACAGAATGAGCGGCCATACTTGGAGCAACTTGTTCTCCTATTTCAGCTATTCTTTCGCTAAATATCTTACGATCTTCCGTATCTATAATTGCTTGAATAGGAGTACCTAGTATTTTACAGTTATACTTCTCAAATACTCCAAGTCTTTCCAGTTCTACTCCGCAATTTAAGCCCGTTTGTCCACCGAATGTTAGTAAGACACCACTAGGTCTTTCAGAACAGATAACTTGTTCGACATATTCGGGCACCAAAGGTAGAAAATACACTTTATCAGCCATACCCTTCGATGTTTGCACAGTGGCAATATTTGGATTGATAAGTACCGTTTGTATGTTGGCTTCTTTTAGAGCCTTAATGGCTTGAGATCCTGAGTAGTCAAATTCTCCGGCTTGTCCAATTGATAAACCGCCGGAACCTATTATAAGAATTTTTTTTAGTTGCAGTTGAGCTATAGGCTTTTCAATTTTAAATTTTAATTTGTTAGTCATTAATTCTTTAATATTAGTTTTAATGCCATTTTTAACTGCTTCTATAAATATGTCAAAGAGACATTCTAGATCTTCTGGTCCGGCCATATGTTCTGGATGAAATTGAACGCTGAAGTATGGTAATTTCGTATGGATTATACCTTCGTTGGTTTTATCATTAACATTTGTGAAAAGAGGTTCCCAACTCTCTGGCAGAGACTTTGTATCTACGGCAAAACCATGATTCTGAGAGGTCATGTAGCATCTTCCAGTATCATGATGAACACAAGGTTGGTTGTGTCCTCGATTTCCGTATCTTAAAATAAAAGATAAATTAATAAATATTAAACGAAAAAAATAGTTAACATACTTCATTTTGTAACTACTGCAACCGATAGCCATTGATAGGAGTTGGTGACCCAGACATATACCAAAAATTGGCTTCACTTTGTTGTTTTCTACCACTGCTTTAACATTTGCTATAGTTTCTTTGCACATTTCTGGATTTCCAGGCCCGTTGCTGAGAAAGAGTCCATCATAATCTTCAATATTCAGTTTGTGGTTCCAAGGTACAACATCTACTCGAGCTCCTCGCTTAAGAAGACATCTTATTTGATTATATTTCAGTCCACAATCAACGGCGCAAATTCTTGGAGTTCCATTTATATTATACGTGACAGGTTTCTGTAAAATAATATTATATTAGTGTTGCAGACACTGATTAATGCAATACCTTAGTTACATTTTGAAAAATATTTAACTTTGAGTACTATTATGTAAGTGTTTATTGGAAACTTAGCTTTCTTATTGCGACATACACTACGTGGAGTAGCAACCGCAATCCCATGCGTGTTTCTTAATAAAATAAAATAATGGAATCGAATTAAATTAAATTAAAAACTAAAGGAAAGCTGCGCTTTACCACAGTATATTGCTTAAAAAGAATTTCTTTTAGCAATATACTGTGGCTTTACCTCCTCGGTTTACGCCCGGAGTACCACATCCGGTTTTTATGTTAAGGATCACTTTTAAAAACATGAAAAATCCTCTGAAAATGTCAAACGGAAAACATTCTAAATTATACTTAGTAGAGAATAATAAAAGCAAATTAATCAATTTTGCAGGAGTTTTTAAAATTATATTAAATATAGATTATAATCTCGAGAACACAGATGCAGAGTAAGAAAAATACTGTAAGGGTAAAGTGCAATAAGATGAAGCAAAAATTGACATAAATTAAAAAAAATAATGTACGATCATACATAATCGAATAGGAAGAGATATATAAGGGGTACAGCAACGAGGACGAAACATATCGTGAGCAAATATCTTGAAAATACATTTTATGGAAAAGGACAAAAACATTATAGTCCCAGTCGTCAGAGAGTTGACCCCTAAAAATCATACGAACAAGCTGAATTTTGCAGAGAATATTAATTTTGGGACTCCAAAAAAGATGCATAAAAGTTTACCACCTTTACCCCGGGGCTTCCCCTAAAACCCCCCTCGCAGGGGGGTAAGAACGCAAAAAATCCATTTACCAAGATCTATTGGTCTTGATAGACCAATAGATCATCATTTCATCATCATTTTGGCTTTACAACCCTGTGTGGGTCCTAGCCTCCCCAAGAATTCTCTTCCAGTCGTCCCTATCCATCGCCTTCCTCCGCCAAGCACGTATTTCCATATTTCTCATATCTTGGTCTATGTTATCTAGGAATCTTGTTTTGGGTCTTCCTCTTCTTCTTTGACCAATAGGTCTATCAAGGAGCGTTTTTCTAGCTGGGTCGGTTTGCTCCATCCGCATTACATGGCCTACCCACCTCAGACGTCCTATCTTAATGTGTTTTACGATCTGGTTCCTGGTATATTCTATAGAGTTCGAAGTTGTATCGTCTTCTCCAGACACCATTTTCATTTACCGCTCCATAGATTCGCCTCAGTATTTTTCTTTCGAAACATCCTAACATGTTTTCATTGCTTTTTGTTAAAGTCCAGGTTTCTGAACCATATGTTAGGACTGGGCGTATTATTGTTTTGTAGAGTTTTACTTTTGTATTTCTTGATATAGCTGTAGATTTAAAAAGGAGATTAAGCCCAAAATAGCATCTATTAGCCGTGCAAATTCTGCGGTTTATCTCTGGGGTAATGTCATTTTCAGTATTGACGAGCGTTCCCAGGTATACAAATTCGTTAACTGCTTCGATGACGTCGTTTTCTATAATAAGTGGCCGTCATATTTGTGGTTGCGGACCTACTTTCATGTATTTCGTTTTATTAATGTTTATTATTAAACCCATTTTTGTAGCCGCTTCCTTTAGTGCCACATACGCCTCTCGTGCTGCGTTTTCCGTTCTCCCAACAATATTGATATCATCAGCATATGCTAGGATTTGCACAGATGTGTTATATATTGAACCGGTAGTTGTGATTTGTGACGTACGTATTACTTTTTCCAGAGCTAGTATACAGGAGAGTGGGTCTCCCTGATGTAGTCCGTTATTTGTATTAAAAGGTTCAGAGAGTTCCCCCTGGATTCGTACTCTGCATTCAACTTTGTCAAGGGTTAGTTTGGTTAGACTTACCAACTGACTTGGTACTCCCAGGTCTATCATTGCTCTTAACAATTCTCTTCTATTTACAGAGTCCTATAAATATGTGGTGCGTGTCTACACCGTATTCCAGTGTTTTCTATGGAATTTGTCTCAGGCTTGAAATCTGATGAATTGTTGATTTATCACCTCTGAAACCAGCCTGTTATTGTCCTATTATTTGCTCTGCATACGGTGCCATACGATGGCATAGTATATTGGAGAATATTTTATACGCTGCATTTAGGAGCGTAATTCCTCGATAGTTAGAGCATTCAAAGATATCTCCCTTTTTGTGTATGGTGCAAAGTATTCCAATATTCCAATCACTGGGGAGGGACTTCTGTATCCATATTTTTTTATAAGCTGCTGTAGCGCTATTATGATATCGTGGCCACCTTCTTTATATAATTCCGCTGGAAGATTATCTATTCCGTGTGATTTGTTTCTGACTAGTTTATTGACAGCGTCTTTAACTTCCAGGATCGTTGGTGGATTCTCCTCCCTCTCGTCTGCTCCGCTTACCTCACAGCTTTCGTCTTCCGGGTTTTCTTCTTCTTCCTCTATATTCAGTATCTGGTTAAAATATTCCGTCCATCGATTTAGTACGTCTATTACTTTCTTACTTTCTTATAGAATGTTCTGAATTCTTTCTCTCTGTTGAGGTTTTCTATATATTGAAGTTCCTTTTTTAAGTAGTTTCGTTTCTTCATTCTGTGTATTTTCTTTTCTTCTCTTCTCTTTGTCTGGTAATTCTCTACACTTGTTCTAGTCCGACGGGTAGCTTCATTTTTTTTCTGTGTTGTGTCTTTGCATTCATTGTCAAACCAGTAATTTTTTCGGGTACAAGTTTCTGTTCCTATTTCATCTTGTGCTGCTGACTCAATATCTTTCTTTATCGTGTTCCAGTAGGAGTCTATATCTCTCTGGTCTTCTTCGCTTGGACTTTGATTTCTTAACCTATTGGTAATATTTTCCCAGTACTGTTTTGCAGCAGTTGCATCTCTCAGCTTCGGTATATTCTATTTCTTTGTATCTATTTTTTTTTCTTTGTTGGAATTTGAAATTCTAGCCCTTAGTGTTGAGATCACTAAACAGTGGTCTGAGTCTATGTTTGCGCCTCTATAACTTCTGCAGTTCATTATGTCCGTTCCGTGTCTTGAATCTATTAAGATGTGATCAATCTGACTAGTTGTTCTTCCATCAGGGGAGGTCCAGGTTACCTTGTGTATATTCTTATGTTCAAAATAAATGCTAGCGACGGGCATATTCAGTGCTGCTGCTAAGTTTATCAGTCGTAATTCGTTATCGCTACTGATGTTGTGTAGGCTATGCATGCCTATAGTCGGCATAAAAACTCGCTCTCGTCCTATTCTTGCATTCATGTCACCTAGAACTATCTTGATGTCATTTCAGGGGCATCTTCTATAGGCTTGTTTTAGGTCTTCAAAAAACTGTTCTTTAACGTCTTCTAGTTTGTCGTCGGTCGTTGCATGTGCATTAATTAAATTGTAATTAAAGAATTTACCTTTTAAGCGTAAATAGCACATTATTTGTCTGTAGGCTTTAAAATCAATAACTAGGCCTTTTGTTCTTTGGTTTACTATAAATCCCACTAGATCTATGTGTTGGTTTTTATTGCAGCTGTAATATATGGAGTGGGTTCTCTTATCGAGAATGCCTGTTCCCCTCCATCGCATTTCCTGCAGTGCCAAAACATCTACTCTGTACATGTTCACTATGTCTAGTAGAGATGCGAGTGCTCCAGCTCGGTACAGGGTTCGAGTGTTCCACGTTCCTAATCTTAATTCCATTTTTCGTTTGCAGAGTCGTCGTCGTCGTAAGTTGCGTCCGGCTAATAGTTCTTTAGGTTCCGTAACATATGCTTTTTGCAGGAAGAGGTTGTTAGCCTCTAGCCTAACCCCCAACCTGGAGGACCAGGGATTCTGTTGGGTTGCCATACCAGCCTGTTTTGGTTCACGGGTGGTATTTTATTTCCCACCTACCTGCCAGTCCTAGGACTGGTAAGGGCGTTCCCCTATCCACCACCTGGGGACGCGTCCGATGGGCGACAGACCACATCCACACGGAGACCAATAGATCTTGGTAATATATTTGATCTATGTATATATTTATATTTGGTTTATTAAGACCAGAAATCTATTTCAAATAAAAAATGTAACTGAGATAATTTTAAACAAAAATGTTTATAAGAACTTTTTGTGTAGAATCAACCGTTCTCTTAGAAACAACGCTTGAAGCGACCGTTGATTTTGCATGTCAAATACGCGAGCGAAATCAATGCTTAATAAAATTTGTATCAGCTGGACGGTAAAAATTCGGTATCTTTTGATTCAAATGTCCTATCGACAATATTCAAGATGTGTTTTAAAGACAAAGAGTGCAGTTTTCGTTGAAGTTTTTGTATTCTGCCGAGAAGTAACTCAGTTTTTATAAAAGTGTTTGTTTTTATAAGAGCGCGATTTTTGCCATTTATTAAGTTTCTTGTGAGATCAATAAAATGGATCACTTTCATTGATCAGTTGTCGTAAAATTTCCATTTTTAGAGAGCAGCCTTAAAATCCTATATCATGAAATTTCATTTTGAGTTGTGGTAACAAATATGAGGCATTTGAAATATGAATGAAAACGCAGAATTTAATGTTTTACACTACAAACGATCACACGTCACGTGAAATGCATTTAAAAATACTTTGTTGAGTGTAGTAGATTATTACAGAAGTTTTTTTCTTAAAAAAAAACGTACTGGTATCATTGAAAAAAGTTTTAAATGATTTAGATCGTTTGGTGTGTGAAAGTTTAAATCCAAAGTTTTTAAAGCATATTTCAAATGCCTTACATTTGTTGCCAAAACTTAAAACTAAAATTTTAGGCTATATGTTTTAAAGGTTGGACTCTAGTAATAAAAGTGGCCAGTCTTCAGTGTCCAGTCAATGAAAGGGATCGATTGTATTAATCTCGTGAGAATCATAAAAAATGGCAAAAATCGCGCCGCGGTTTTTTGTTTAACACCTGTATAAAATCTAAGTTTATTTGCGGCAAAATACAAAAACTACATACGAAAGCTGAACTCTTTACCTTTAAAACTCATCTTGATTTTGTCGATAGGTCACTTGAATCAAAAGATATCGAATTGTTACCGTCGAGCTGATACAAATGATATTGAACATTGATTTCTACACAAAAATGCTGATAAACATTTTTGTTTAAAATTATCTCAGGTACATTTTTTATTTGAAAATTTTTTTTCTAGGGTGTACAGATTCTTGGTAAATCAATCTTTTTGCGTTGTTACCCCACTATGAGGGGGGTTTTCGGAGGAAGCCCGGGGTAAAAGTGGTAAACTATTTTGCATCTTTTTTGGAGTCCCAAAATTAATATTCTCGGCAAAATTCAGCTTGTTCGTATAATTTTTAGAGGTTCAGTGGCATTTTCGTCTCTGACGACTGGAGTAATACCCAAATGTCATATCTCCTTATCCACACATCAGTTTCTAGTACCAATACAATTTAAATTGGGAAAATACTAAGTGTGACACATCCGTGAAACGGTAATTTTATAAGAAATTCAACTATTCTGTGTTCTAAACTATAGTTCACTTAAAAGCTAATTTAAATTGTATTATAATGTAAAATTCTCCTTAGAATAAAAAATAATTACACCTACATTTTGGTAAAATAAATACATAAACTTTTTGTTTCAGTATTTGTGTGTGTGTCATTTTATTATCGTATACAATTTTTAGTAAAGGATCGACCGCAGGAGCTGAAATACTTTCATCAACAGAATCATTTACTTGAGTGGAAATTCTTTGCCTGAGTTCATAATCATTTCTCACTTCCGATGTACTTTCTTCTCTTGTTTTACTTTCTCTATTGGGTTCTTTCTTATTCGCGTCCTCCTCTGCCTTCAACGCTATCTGCTTTATTAAGGTACTTTCTTCCTGTGTCAATTTTGGACTAAGTACATGCCCTCCTGTAGATAACTTTTCTAATATCTTACCACATGTTAAACATTCCCAATTCTTTGTCTCTTTTGCTAACACTTGTCTCTCTTCTGCTGTGTAATCCAAAGAACCAATTGTTCCAGATGCTGGAGTGGGCAAAAAAGCTATTAGTGCCAGAAGAGCAGTACGTATTGACCAAGAAGGCTGCCAACTTTCAGGATGGTGTCCTGATATTGATAAACATATTTTCTTGTTAACCTCAAATCTTCCATTTGGTGCCAACAAAATAATGTTGGGAGGTTGCATAGGATATTGTGAGGGCAGTAAAATTCTTCCATGATGGAATCCACCTTCAAATTCTGTTCCTGGAGGACCCCTTACTGTAAAATGCCACTCAAACAGATTATCTTCTAAAGGACATGCAAAATACTCTTCTGTGGGATTAGCTAATTCTATTGCTTCTCTCATTAAACGTTTTACACCAGGACTTTTAAGGTTATATTTACTTTCTAAAGACATTTTAGTGCTTATACACTGGAATTTACAAAACACCAGAATATACCTAAATATACTGATAGACCTTATCTAATTTGATAATGTCAATTTATCGAAATTATTCCTTTAATCTGAATTAAAGAATAGAGACAAAGTACATTTTACTTACATCCAGAACTTGATTTCGTTCCTGTATAAGCAGAACTTCAATTAGTACCTGTTCAAACATTCTGTACAGTAGTGTTGCCGACATTTGTGTTAAAGTCACCGCACATTAAGGTTAGTCTTTTATTCGGAATGTTAGCAATAGTTGTTTCCAATTTTTTGTACAATTTCTCGACTTTTATGTCGTCTCTTGTGCTGGTTGGCGCATAAATCTGAATGATATTGAGTTTATGTGGTTTGCCTTACAGCTTAAAGAGAACTATCCTATCGGTCAATTGTTTTAATGATGGGTCAAAACACATGCCGGTGTAAAATTTGGTGGTTTAATTAGTTATCCATAGTCTAATAGACTATACGATATGGAATATTTAAAATATAGAAAAGTAAAGCTATATAAAAACGAAATTCTATTTCCGGAGACACAATAAACTATAATCTTACTGGCTTAACACACCAGGATTGAGAAAAGCATAAAATTTTGTAAAACTATCGTCTGAAACCTCAAAATGCCTTGCGCAAATGCCCTGAGCAAAAAATATATTAAATTCTTCCTAGTCGACACTTTTCCTTGTAGTATCACCTCATTAAGATGGACAAGTCAGTCAGTCAGAATTGAAATCAAAACCGAAAATGAAAGAGAAGTTGAAAACATGTTCTGTCGTCTTCGTTTTACAAGCTTTGCTATCTTTGCCTTGCACTTGCCACATACATTGACATAGTTATACGATAAAAAAATCTGCTATACAATTCGATAAAAAAATAATAATAATGGGGCTTCATAACACAGAGATTATAAAGGGAAATGATAATAGAAAATAAAATAGATCTCAATAAAAAAGGGATATTTTAATATAGTATAGCAAAAAACTGAAAGCAACCATGCAAAATCAGAGTAAAATATTCTAACTTATTAGCCTAACTAAGATTAATATTCCTATAAATAAAAAAATAATGAAGCAACTACGAAAATTTATTTAAATTTTATATAAGAGTAAAGTCTTCATTGTCAAGTCAGCTATTTACTACATGGAGTCAATTATTTTATTGTCGCATACCTGTATGGATACTTCAGCAACTAAATTCCTTAAATTAGGATCCAGAATAGAACCTACTTCAGCAGGCAAAGGTAAGCGGTAAACAATCTTTCCCAACATAGTACCATGCTCGCGAATTTTCTTGGTGAGTTGCCTGGTGTCGATTCCTTGGATACCCGGCACGTTTTCTTGGGCCATCCAAGCCGACAATGTTCTAGTGCTGCGCCAATGACTGGGATAGTTGCAATGTTCTCCAACCACCAACGCTGAGGCCCATATTCGGTTAGATTCGAAAAAACTGCAAAAGTAAAAATATTGAAATATTTTAAGACATTTGTTCATTTCAAATATATATTATAAATATTATTTTAATGATTGGACATATACTCCAGTTGTTAGAGACGACAATGCCACTGAACTTCTAAAAATCGTACGAACAAGCTGAATTTTGTTTTGAATGTCAATTTTATTATCCTAAAAAGATGTAAAAAAGTTTGCCACTCTTACCCCGGGCTTCCTCCTAAAACCACAACTCGAGGGTGGGAAAACGGAAAACATCGTTTTACCAAGAATCAGAATGTCGTATGAAAAATTGTTTCAAACAAGAAATGTAGCTGAGGTAATTTTGAACAAAAATCTATATTAGCTCTTTTTGTAGAATGAACCATTCTCTCAGAAATAACGCCTGGAGCGACCGGCAATATTTAATGCCAGTTTAATTCGGAGCGCGTGAAATCACTTTTTTAACCTTTCCCAGCCGGTGAAGAATACATTTGTAACCCACAAAACGAAATTTCGTTTTAATTAATTATATTTTAATCCAAATTGACTAGTACTAAAAAATAAAAACCTTCTTAAAATACGTTTGTATCCCACACCGTATTATATGTGGTTTAAGTTTCGTATTACCACAGCCACCATTTTACAAACCATGAAATGAAAAGGCAACGTCGCAATTGGTGACGTCGTCGGTAGTCCGATTCTCGATGCCGCAATTTTAAAGTACAAAATAGTATTTTTTGACTCGAACAGAAAAATATATTAAATAGGTAAAAGAAATAATAAATAAGACTTACTCACAATCATAATATTAAATTAATATAAAAATATATTAATTAGAAGTTTGTACAAAATATAAGTAAATATAATTCGATGTAAGTAATGTTTATTATAAAAAAAACCACTAAAAAAATGTGTAAAATTGGTTTATGGTAAAATACATTATTTTAAGTAATTAATATCTTATTTTAAATTATGTGGTTTGTAAATCCCGCATAACAACTGTGTTACTCTTAATTACAAAATATCGCTAGAAATAACTATTAAAACAATTGCTCACAATGTTTGATGTGCATTCTTGGTGTTTACAGTAGATAACTTTCTTTTTTGTTATCCCCATTATGATTATTTTTTTTTTTGAAGATTCATTACTTTGATGGCTGCTATTTTTGTTTTGTGTATAAATACTTAAAACAATATTATACATATAATTTTTATAGCAGCAGAGTAAACTTTAAAGGCATTTACTCCACAATCACACTCAAAGTCAAAATTTAAGTGAAATCCTTCATGTTCTAAAGTTTTCATTACCAAAGATGATAATAACTTCAAGTGACAATTGTGTTGCAAAAATAATTTTTGAAGATTGGAATTATTAGGTAAAAATAAATTCAAATGTTGAACAAAGATGATAATAAATAAATTTTACTGAATCTGTTGCTAATCACAAACCATCCCTTTGCAAATATCAGATCATAGTAATCTGCTCCAGTTGTCTCTCCTTTACTGTAAAAAAAAATGTTGGAAATGTTCAAAATAGTTTTTACTTTTATGTATTTGATGAACGATATATATATATAGCTGGGTTGGTTCGTCGTAGATTTAAAAATTTAATGAAAATCACCAAGATTTGCTTCAGTACATTTATTCTCTAGTCACTAGAAAGTAAATTTTTGAATGGATATTCTCGTGAAGAACTTCACTGAAAACTTCAATTCTAACCTTCATTTAACTGTTGATGAGCAGCTTGTGAGATTTAGAGGAAAATACCCATTTCGTGTTAACGTATATAAAAATGTACAAGTCTATTGGCCAAACTATTACTAGCTGATCAATTGGCCAAACGCAGATTGACTTTGTGTGGCATACTCAAAACAGACGAAATAAGCTAAAAATCAAACCAATATTAAACAATAAAGACAGGCCAGAATGGTCTTCGATTTTTGCTTTTACAAAAAAATATCAATCTGGAGTCTTATGTGCCCAAAAAACGAAAAAAAATGTCATAATGTTAAGTTCTGGACAGTTGACATTATGATGATAAGGTAGAAAATGAACAAAGCAATTTCAAATCCAACATTATTGAACACTAGGTATAATAAAACCAAAGAAGCTGTAGACACGATGGACAAGATGGTCAATGAATATTCCGTGAAAAGGATAACAAAAAGATGGCCTTTTATAACATTTTGGACATAGAGAAATGACAAGCCTATCTCTCTCACTTTAACCAATCATTTATTTTAACACAGTCTTGGGGTGGCATAAAATAATCAAACCAAGCTTAATTCCGCAATGTCAATTCTGTCAAAAGTAATGACAGATCTTCCGTTTGTTTACAAGTTTTCAATTTTATTTTATTATCTTTAACTTTCGTTTGCATTTATTCTTAGTAATTTTAATTTAAGTTGGTTACTTAGTTTTTAAAGTTTAGTTTGAGTTACCTATTGTAGCAAAGAATTTTTGTGTTGTGCTAGTAAAAAAACTAAACATGGTGAAGTATTGTATTGTTCCGTTGTGTACAAATCATGGAAAAATTACAAAAAGGATGATGATAGTAAGTTGTCAGGAAGCAAACAATAATAGTATTTAACATTTGTTTCTGAAAATATGTGTAATAAATATTATGTAATTAGTTTATAACTGTTTTATCTTAAACAAAAAATAAATATACGTATATCTAGAAAAAATTGTGCATCTTTTATATATCCTTATTTTCCAGTAAATTTTAATTAGTAACGAAATAGCCCGCAAGAGGCGCTAAAGGGTATGTATGTAAGGGGTGTCCATTCGAATTTGCCGCCAAAAGATGATTAGTATTGACACAGCCGCAAGGGGTCCTAATGAACGAAATTTATACATTGAGTTGCCTATCTATTTCTACTATTATATTATTTATCTATGAATCCAACTTTCCACATATGTCTAATTTCCATTTTCCAGGTACCAAATGTTGAAGAAACATAAAAATATTAGAATCTGTATTTCACAACACTATTGGACACATGTATAGTTGGTTGCCTAACTATAACCACATAATTTTCTCACCACAATTTCATCTCACATACATAATTTAAAACAACAGCATTGATGGTTGATACTGTTATATTATTTTATTTTAACTTTTACAATTTTTAAATATTGTTGGCTTCTGCCTTAAGTAGACACATACAGTTACACTGACTGCTCATTGCCAGTCATTTCAATTAGTTGCCTTCATTTTCTACTAATTATTTATCTATGGCTTTCATAAAGTCCTCGTAGACACACCGTCTCAGGACTAGCAACTTCACGTGGAGTCACATGTCGCCATGTTACCAAATCTAATGGAAACTTTAACGTCGTAATAATTAATAAGCAACAAAGTAAACTAAATGTAAATAAATAATTATTCACAGGTTTTTGCCCACATATTTAGTGGCTACATACATGTATACCTAGTAAGTATTAACCACATTTTGCGTTAACCTTGGTCAAACTTTAATACTTCTAAGACAAAATTTATGGTTGTCAGCAAAACGGAGTGTCAAACCAACGAACATCAGAGCGTATGGAATAGAGTTTAGAAAGAGTCCACAATATTACCTACTTGGGAGCAAAACGTTAACGATAACTGGGATATAAATAAAGAAATAAGAATACGCATTGAAAAAGCCAGAGCCGCCTTCTATAAATTAAAGAAAATTCTAATTAATAGAGATATTATTATTACCTTAAAATCAGATATTATAACCTTAAAACCTTAAAATCAGAATTAATACGCTTGCTACATATTCTTTCACATTGCTGTATGGTATGGGAGAGCTGGAGCCTTACAGAGACATTAATGAAAAAATTAGAGGCCTTTGAGATGTGGATTTATCGAGGAGTATTGCGGATAAGTTCGATAAGATCGAATAAGAAATGAAATAGTTTTACATAGAATGAAAAAGAGCACAGAATAACAAAAAACGATAAAAATTCGAAAGTTTGTAATATTTCGGTCATGTAATGAGACATCCAGAGAGGTATAATCTTCATACACCTCATAATACAGGGTAAGATCGCCGGAAGGAGAGGTCCAGGCCGACACGAAGAACATCCTGGCTCCGAAAATCTCGCGAGAATGGTATCACAGAAATTTTGATGATATACTGTTTTTGTATATATGCTTATAGATATACACCGGGGTAGCGGATGGATACTTCTCTGCGATCCCGGCATGGGATAGATCTACTTCAGGAATTGCACACTTGCCCACGCAAGCTCTTGGATTTCCCCAGCTTCCCATCCTCGAGGAAACCATGTCCAACCCCAAAGCTTTTCTATCACTACCCTTTCCTACCCCCACTTCCAAACCAACTCGCCAACACGCATTAGCTAAGCGTGGCGTTTTCTTCTTCTTATAGTGCCCTATCCAATTAGTGGATGTTTGCGACAATTCTGGCATATTCCTCTTGATCTTGTGTGGCTCTAAAAAGTGCGATGGGCATCGAGGTTTGTCCAACTGCCTTATGTTTTTAAGCCATGAGTATTTCTTTCTTCCGATGCCTCGTTTTCCTTTATCTTCCCTTCCATAATAAGTTTTAAGGAACTGGGTACTTGGAATTTCGAAAGATATATGACCCAGGATAAGCAGAGTTTTTCTTCCTTTTTTTAAAATGGCAGCAATTCTCGTTCTCTGCCATTCGATTTAATACTTCGACATTTGTTGTGTGATCTCTCCAGGGAATTTTAAGTAGTCTTCTAAAAACCACACATTTCAAAGGCCTCCAATCGGTTCATCACATTGGCCTTTATAGTCCAGGTTTCTACACCATACAGCAGTATGGAGTAAATGTAACATTTTAATGGCTTAAAACTCCAAAGTTATTTTCCATGAAAGACGAAACTACTGAACAGCCCTCAGTCTCCGGCTGAGGTAGCCAGACCAAGGTAGCGGTTGGAACAATATTGGAGGAGAGTGTGCTAAAAATCCCCGAAAAAAATCAGGCTACTACAAAGGGAGACAAATTCATATTACTTCATACAACGTTAGAACTCTTATATCAGACCAGGAGATGATGGAACTGGAGGAAGAAAAACATAAAAATGAGACATCATCGGCCTCAGTGAAATAAGACGAAGAGGTGAAGCCCAAATTACTCTTAAATCAGGACACGTATTTCATTTTAGAGGTGAAGAAGACACTTCAAATGGTGGAGTATGATTCATTATACATAGAAAGCACACACAAAATATAGTTGAAATTATCAGCGTAAGACCCAGGATTGTATATCTCATCTTCAAAGTAAATGCAACATATAACCTTAAGGTAATCCAGACGTATGCTCCAACGACTACCCACTCAGATGAAGAAATTAAAAAATTTTATGACAACCTAGAAACAGCGTTAAATGCCACACCAGCATATTACACAACAATTATGGACGACTTTAATGCGAAAATGGGGATTAAACAAGATAATGCAAGCAGCAATGGGTAAGCAAGGCTACGGCGAAAGAAATGTAAGAGGGCAAGGATTGGTGAACTTCTTACACTACGAAAAGGTATTAATGATGGAAAAGAAACCTATATGATGATACACTAACCAGACATATATAAGACTTGCAAGACGAAATAGAAGATGTAGATCAAGGAAATGAGCTGCCCAACCGTTCTGATGCATAAAGAAAAACTAAGCCAAAATACCAAAGAGCTAATAGGTAAAAGAAGACAGCTGACGAAAAAATACGGCACCAACTACGCAACAATGAAGAAATTAAATAAAGATATCCACTAGTCAATTTGAAAAGACGTAAGAGAAAATAATGCAAGAGAAATAACTAAAATAAGTGGATAGGTTTATTATCCCAAAATATAGATGGATTGACGATCTGAAGCGTGTTAGCAATAACTGGATGCAAGCCGCACAAGACAGAGATACATAAAAAAAGAGCTGAGGGAGACCTATGTCCAGCAGTGGACGCATACAGGTTGATGATGATATATGTTTAGGCGAATTATCTAAAGCAGACAACGTAGATTTTGAATCCGACATACTTACTATTTATTGATCAGACATTTTCTTCTAAATAGTCCATTCCAAAGCTTGATATATTGCAAACACATATGCGAAATATATGGAACATTGTTAGTTTAATTTAAACATAATGTGTTCTTGGTTGTTTTGGATATATACCGCACAACCAACTTCTAAAATAGATTTTTACCCACCTGTGAAAATCCTTATGGCATTTCAAATTGGGCAAGTTATTTCTGAAGTTGAATGGCGTTGTTATCATTAAAAGTAGGGAAATAAACTTTCGTTTCGGAATAAAGTATATTGAAATTAGATTGGAAGAAATTAGTTTCAGCTGGGATTTCTAAATAGAAAGAAACATTAGTAAATGGTATAGCTAAAAGTTGGAGAATTTTTGTTATACCACCATTTGTCAACTAAGTTAGCCACAATATATGTAGGATACTTTTTGCAATAGGTAGGTTTGGTTATTACCTTGACATTTAAGGATAAACTTTTGAGCTAAAAAAATATCTCTTAAATGTAAGGACGGTTCCATACGTTCGGCTAATAGATTTTCAATAAGTGTAGATTTAAATGCACTTAAAACCAAACGCAGAGCTTTGTACTGGATTCGGTATAATTTTTTAAGTGAAACAATATTTAAAAATCATAAATCAGAGATTACAAAAGCTGCAAACAACAAGAAGTGTTATCAATACAATTTCTTAAACAACGTTGTCGTAACATGAATTCTAATGTATGCATGCTCCACAGATTATTAAAATACGTTTGAGAAAGAGAAGAAGACATAACAACACGAAAAAACATCAATTTTAATATAATAACAGAATTCACAAATGCTTGTAGGACATTGGTGTTGACAAAAAAATTTCATCCCTAGAAGTTATTACTCTTTTACAAACTTGAACCTTTCCGCGCACTAACTGTAAATCATTAGGATGTCGATAGTCGATACTACTAGATACTTACTATGGTAAATCGTTTTCGTCTTTCTTTTCTTCGGGAACTCCATAATTTCCAATAATAGGGTAGGTAAGAATCAGGATTTGTGCGTGATAACTCGGATCTGTCAACGATTCAGGATATCCTACCATACCAGTTTGAAAAACTAAAATAACAAAAATAATGATGATTTTACCGCTTTACTAAAAATTTGCTTTTCTTTAGACTAACATTATTTTTTACTATAATATTTTATGATACAGACTAACCAATAATCTATTTACTTATGTGTAAAGAGTCAAAATATTAATGACAACGAGAAATAAATTAAACACTACGAAATTCATCTTCCCAGTTTAAAAAGTAGTTAAATTAAAAGCTAAACTTTATATGACACCTTTTTATTTTAATCAGCTTTGACAGGTATTTTTGAACAGATAAAAGGCAAAGTTGCAGTTAGAAACACTGAAGGACAAAATAGTTTTGGTTAGAAGCAGTTTATATATCGATCCGAATGGGATCATTGGCATGTTGGGATGCATAGGGAATGTTGAAATGTCTCATATACATATTGCAATGATAAAAATGGTTTTTAACTTTTTAACATGACCCCTTTTCCTTCGATTTTACTCTTTATAATCAATTGCAACAACTCCTACTTCTCATTTCTAAGTATGTGCCCTAAATATGCCGTCTTTCTTCTTTTAATGGTGCTCAAAAGTTCTCTGTTTCTTCATATTCTGTGCAAGACCATTTTGTTCGTAATATGATCGATCCATGGTATTTTAAAAATTCTTCTAAAAAGCCACATCTCAAAAGCTTTCAGTTTTCTCATTATTATTATTATTATTATTATTATACAATGATATCGATGGCCCAGATTACAAAATATTTGTAAGTACTAAACTAAATATCAAACTTTTCAAATATAATCAAATTTTCCAAAGTTAAAAATAAAAATAATATCCAAAAGAATTAGTACTTGGAAAAAGTTGTAGATTTAACATCTAGGCCAGCCTTCTATAAGAATATAACAAGCTGGCGTAGATGTTAACCTCGCGAAAACAGAGTGCCTATCTACAAATGAAGAAGACATATCTACAGAGTGAAGATCTACAGATTGATGACAACGTAAAGGAAAGGATAAATTCAAATACTTGGGGTTTATAATCAAGAAAAAGGCAACAACAGAGGAAGAAATTACACAAAGATTAGGACAAACAAGAACAGCAATCCGACAACTTAACTCAGTAGGGGGGGGATAGACACCTAAATATGAAGACAAAAACACAGATTTATAAAACATTAGTGCAAAGTATTATAACATATAGATAGTAGCAACAAGATGGAATGCCTGAGAAGATGCTGCAGGGTAACAAGAATGGATAGGAGAAATAATGACGAAGTAAAGCAAAGAACATCAATAGAAACAGACATACTAACATAAAACAAAGAAGACTAAAGTGGTATGGACATGTAAGAAGAACTACCGACAGCAGATGGATAAAGAAAATAACCGAATGGAGCCACATAGAGAGGAGGAAAAGAGGACGACCCCGAAGATCCTAGAGGAACGAAGTAGACGACGCCATCAGTAAGAGAGGCCTAAACGATGGAAAATGGGACAACAGACAGAGATGGAAACGGTTGAGCGAAGGAAGGCAGTGAATACTGTAAAATCCCTGAATATATCTTCTTCTTCTTCTTCAGCCTGTGTTTGTCCACTGCTGGACATAGGCCTCTTCCATTTGCTTCCATCGATTTCTACTTTTGGCAATTCTCATCCACTGCTTGCCCGCGACTTGTTTGATATCGTCTGTCCACCTCTTCTGCGGTCTGCCTACTCCTCGCCTGTTCTCTCTTGGTCTCCAGTTTGTTAATCTTTGTGTCCATTTTTCGGGATTATCTCGGGCAACGTGTCCGACCCATTGCCACTTGAGCCTTGCAATACGTTCTGAGTCTGAAGAGTTCTCCTGAAACATCAAGACGAAGCAGAACTAATCTGACTTGACAATGGCAGGTGTGACCTTGCGAAACGTCGTCAAAACAATGGTTTTTCTAAAAACCAAAATTACATAACGCGGAGTCAAACCCGGAAAACAACTGAAATCATATATATATATATACTATAATATATATATATATATATATGATATATATATATATATATATATACAGTGTAGGTAAAATTTTATGGTCGGTATGGTAAAAGTTAACAGGATATCTAACACAGATATAAAATCATATTTTCAGCGAATAGACAAAGATAATAATCATATTCCCCCTTGGTCTCCCCTCCATAAATCTTCTTGACGCCCATTTTGCCTGTTAGTGAGACGATTAGTTCCGATCAGAGATATTTACATATTCTGTGGTTCCGATCCTCATAAAGCTAAGAAACTAGAGGTGGGTCCTTTTCCTAAATTTTACGGCCTTTTAAAGAAATAACAAGTACAATGAGTGGCCAAAAATACTTGAATGATAGTTCAGTGATTGTTCTGGTACGCTGCCTGCAAAAATCTTGCAATAAAATTTTAGCAAACAGTAACCTTACATCCATAGTTAGTATCCGACGTAGTACGGGTTTTTATTACTAATTACGGATAATTACTAATCTCGGGTTTAGCAAAAAGATTTAGAGGGATAGAATACAGTGGAATATTGTCATTATGTACGTTTATGGATTCACGATTTAAAGTGCAGGGATTTTCTGATAAAAATAACGCTAAAAAAACAAAAGAAAGAGTTAAGAAGCTGGTTACTTCTATAATTAAAGAACAAGAAGATTGTACTATTGAAAATCAACCAGTATAAGAAAAAGAAACCGATAAAGATGACTTAAGTCCATGGTGTATTTTTGATCAATTAATTGGACATGACTCATCTTAAACGTACACCTGTAGCGAGAGTCCATTACAATGGTGAAAAAACCATCGCCATGTATCTCCTAACTTAACCACTATATTCATAAAGTATTGTAAATGTGAACACATGTTCAAAATCAGGTTTAATTTTAAATAAAAGAAAAACACAATTAATAAGAAGTAAAGTAAAAAAATTTATGTTTTTAAATGTCAATTTAGACGATTCGTGATTTAATAATAACGTGTAATGTAAACGTAGGTACGATTTACTATTTGTATTGTTTAGTTTAGTTTTCAAGTTATAATAAAATCTTATATTAGTTTCCTTCACTTCAATAAATGTACAGATAAACGATAATAGCCATTATGTTTGTTTATGTAGGTAGTTTCTTACTTGAACTACTATTAAAAAATCATAGTTACTTGTTTACGAAAATCGGTTTTGCGACGTCAATGACCCACCTCTATTCGTAAATACCTGTTTATATCCTTTGATTCGGTGATTTTGACCACGCGACACGCCACGTTGGCAAATAGTTTTGTACGAAGCTTTTTTATTTATATGCAGTTTAATATTTTTATTGGAAATAAGGCATAATGTCACTTTAAAATAAGCTTATTTTGATGTTTAGATTTTTAATTCGGAAATCGTTTATAAAATACCAAACATTAATAAATTTTATTTATATAAAACGATTTCCGAAGTATAAATCAAAATGTTATATTACACTTATTGTAAAGTAAAATTGTGGCATATTCCCAATAAAAAACAATAAGCTGCCATTTAAATCCATTTCGCCCAAATTTCATTATCTTGGAGCATTGTTCAAATGCGAAAAAGACAACAGGTCAAATAAAACCAATAAGTTTGGCAACGTTGAATTTCCCCTTTTTATTATTATCCACTCCATATCCACTCATTTATGTTCGGTGATATAAAAGGCGGACACCTAATATATCTCTCTCTTTTTAAACAGTTGTTTCTCACTCCATCTCATGTAAGGTCCATACCGACCATAAACTTTTACCTATACTGTATATATATATATATATATAATATATATAATATATATATATATATATATATATATATATATAGTGGTCTACATTTTCAAGACTGACGTTGTCAATAACAAGATTAGTTTGTAAATTACTCATTATTTTTGTTTTCTGAAGGTTCATATTGAGACCTATTTTATTTGACCGCTGGTTTAATTCCTTCAACATTTGCTCCAGTTCCTTGATATTTGTACTAAATAATACTATGTCATCCGCAAACCTCAAATGACTCAAACGTACACCATCAATGTTGTTAGACCTTTTTCCTCCCAGTCAAGCTGTTTGAATACATTTTCCAATGCTAAGGTAAAAAGCTTTGGTGAAATAGTATCACCTTGTCTAATCCCTTTATCAAGGCGCATTTTTTCAGTTTTTTCGTCTTCATTGATTTTGATGTGGAATGTGGCCTGTTCATAAATGTTTTTAATGAGTGTAGTGTACCGTGAGTCTATTCGAGCATCCTTCAGGGCTGACAAAAAGGACCAAGTCTCAATACTATCGAAAGCCTTGTGAAAGTCGATAAATGCCATATGTAAAGGTACATTATATTCTGTGGTTTTTTCTACTAGTGTTCTGATGGTTTGTAAGTGATCATTAGTACCAAACCCTTTTCTAAATCCCGCCTGTTCAACCGGTTGATATAAATCAAGTTTTTGTGTTATGCGGTTGGTTATTATTCTTGTTAACAATTTGTATAAGTGTGACAACAAACTTATAGGTCTGTAGTTTTCAATATTAGTAGTGTCTCCTTTCTTGTGTAAAAGTATTATTTCGGCGTTTTCCCATAGGCTGGGTATTCTTTTTTCTGTTAGACACTTATTCAGTAAGACTTCCACAACTTCTACAACGATGTTGCCGCCCATTTTTAACATTTCAGACGTTATACGATCCTCGCCAGGAGCTTTTTTGTTTTTCATTTGCTGTAAGGCATGTCTAATTTCCGAAGAGGTTATTTTAGGGAGGGTTTCCGAGCCGACGTTTAGAATTGTTCTGTGGTCTGTTTCGGGGTTCTGTATAGTAGATGTATAAAGATTCTTATAGAACGTTTGTATTTCCTTGATTATTTGAGTTTTTTCGGTCACCGTATTCCCCTGTTGATTTTTGATTTTAGTTATCTTTGATTTTCCTTTAGTTAAATTTGATTTCAATACTCTCATGTTTCTATTGTTTTCGATGGTTTGCAATATTTGTTTTGTTTTATAAGCCCGCAAGTCTGACCTTATGTTCTTTTTAACTTTATTGT